TGTAATTAATTTAAAACAATAAGGGTTCAAATATCAGTAACGGTCTCATCTTGATTTTTTTAAATTACAAAAGATCGTACAAAGTTCAATTATTGTAAACAGAATTTGATCGCTTTTGCACATTTGTTGGAGTTATTTTGATTAATGCTGAACTGGCATTGGATTCGTCTTCACTTGCGGATTGGTTGAACTATTCAGACGCGTTTCGGCATTGCAACATCTTCAGTGAGGAACGGACCAAATAAGTGACCAAATGTCGGTTCTGCATGAATTCGCCTAGTCGCAGGCTAACACCCAACATCAAATCTGCTTTGATTAAACCACCCATCAGAGCATTTAAAAAAGAAAAAAAACTTCTTGTAAACTAATCAGAAGTTTTGTAAGTTCGACCTATTACTATAGTTGTTTTGGAATTTTTCATTTTTTCCAGTACCGTGAATTTTATACTGTTATTATTGTCGTCGTTAATTAACATAGATATGTAACATAGCTTAAGTTCAAACAAGGACGACCCAAATGATCAAACCGCTGAAAGATAATAGTCACTCGTCCCACCAAAAAAAATCTATAAAAAATTTATTTTTGTCCGTGATGCATTCAGCGGAATATTTTGCTTGTATTTGCAGTTTACATCTGATTAAAACGGTCACTCTTCTTAATTGGGCGTGTTATTTTTTTAATAGTACTGCGATAAATCAGTTTTACACATTGAATCCTAGAAAGAAACACTTATAAATTTGAAAAAAAAATTGTGAGGAAAAAAAAAATAAATAAATACTGTACAGTATGTACGATTCGTTAATCTGTAGTTTTTATAATTCGTCCTTTTACTTTATTGGTGAATTTAATTATTTTTCGGAAGCTTAAACCTCGTCTGAAAGGAGAACTTACAAAGAGCTTTGATTCTATATTATATTCTGGCCATTTTTTATTTTAAATAAATAACATTTAAATACTTACGGACGTGTTTAAAGAGGTGTTGATATTTTTTACTATTTTAAGAAGGGATAAATATATTCATCAAATTAATAATCAGGAGAATGTGTGGTGATTAGTGATCGTTAATCGATAATTATTCAGAAATCGTGAGCTGCGGTATGGTGTGATGTAGGTTTCAGAAAAACATTTTCTTTATCGTGCCAACGTTTCGATCTTTATTGAGATCATCTTCAGGGCTCA